CCTCTCTGCTTTTAATTTCAATCCCTTTAGCAATGAAGGACAAAATTCCATTTGCCTTCCTAATTACTTGTTGTACCTGCAGACCTACCTTCTGTGATTGAAACTTAACTGGATCACCCAGGTAAGTGTGCAATGGGAAGAGTACTGTTCAGTGAAACTGAAGCACTCCAGCCATGACTAGATGAGTCTTTGGTGTTCATGATTTTCTTGTCTGGAAGGCTGTTATCGTGACTTGACAGGTGTTTGTTAACTTCTTAGAATACAATTCACGGATCTTGCACTTAACTGACTTTGAGCTGTACTTAATTGCTGCCATCCTTCACCACAGCATGAGAGCTGAAGCAATTGCACCATCTCCAATAGCATCTCGTCAGACATAAGCTACTCCACAGAGTAGGGTAAAATGGGGCACCAAGTTCCAAATGAAAGAAGGTGAGACTACAGGCAGAGGGGTAGTTCTGTTAACAGGTTTGAGCTCCAGTGCATTAGGAGGCTCAGGCTTTCATGGCAGATCACTACTGACACCTGCAACCTGCAACCTCCCGGATCAAGATTTCCTCCCCAGTGGAGCAGATGGACACTCAAGGTAGAATAGAATCCCTATGGTATAGAAACAGGCCATTCTGCCCAACAAGTCGACACTAATTCTCTGAAGAGTATCCCACCCAGGTCCACCCCCTACCATATTCCTGTAACTCTACATTTCCCATGGCTAATACACCTAACCTACACATCCCTAGGCACTACAGGGTAATTTAGCATAGCCAATCTACCTCACTTGCACATCTTTGGACTGTCCTTGAAATAGTGTCATGACTACAAAGCATGTCAGCACATGATTAGTGAACTGTGAACTAATAGAGCCCATACAGCTCCCATTTAGTTTGAGTGTTCCAAATTAAATGTAAACAGCAATGCTTTAATTTTAAATACCAGATTAAAGGTTAGTTTAATGTGCAACTATTTCTGTAAATTTAAAAGTAAAGCAATGTGATACAGTTATTAATTAAAGTAGAAGAGCAAAGATTAAAAGTAGATACAGATAAAAGGTACATATAAACATAGAAGTCTCAAGTCAGTTCATTGCAAGCCTGGCTTGAAGGTTTTTCTTTCAGAATGAAGGGGTTGTAAGTCAGAATTCAGCAGTTGCAACGGTTTCTATAGTTGAATAGCTGGAGGTTTCTTCCACAGATGGACTTAGTAGGACACAGAATTTGTTAGAGGGAGAAGATTCCTGGCTTCTGGTTGTAGAAATGGCAGTTTTAGCTGCTCTCCTACTCTATAGCTGACTACTAGCAGTTTTGAGATCTAATCAGCTTTTTAAGCTACCATCCAATTAGAGGCCAGCAGGTCAGTTAAGACCTCGTCTTCAGGCAATCCAGCAGTGAGAAGATAAGTCTTTTCATTTTATTTCTCATGCATTAAAGGGGAGGAAGTTTTTTTTTCCATCAACCATCCTCTCACTACACCCATCCTGATCCTGTACCTGACTGGCCCCAGCTTTTATCTTACCCACTCCAACCCAGAATGCAGCTTTCCTCAATTATCTATTTTTCTTCCTTTCCTGAAAGCAGGCCCCATTGGGCCACTGAAGAGTTTGGGCCCTTAAATGGATGTTAATTACTTTAGGACTGTAATTGCTGATGAATCAATGAAATCCCCAATCGACCTATTCATTCGGCACTTAATTGCTGAAGAGATGAGAAGAAGGCTCCAGAACCAATGTGTGCAATTATTCGCCCTTCTTGCCATGTTCCTCAGCCCCTCCAGGGAGAGGAAAATCACACTCTCAGTAGCCATTTATATTATGCCTAAAGTGCTACTGTTAATATATTTAAATATCTATTTCTGGTCGAAATATGTTTTACAACTTTGTAAGAAAAAAATCCCAGCATTAAGTGTGAACTGTATGTTAAAATTAGATATTTAATTGAAAAATACTTCTAATGGGATTTAAACAATATGTTAATTACTTTTAAAGGAATACTCCAGGATTAAGTTCCAAAATGGCCTTGTGTTGAGTATTCATCCTATATTTACAAAATAAAGCCAACTTTTAAAAGGGTTTGAAAAAAAAGTCGTTCAATAATCCTGCTATTTGAGCTCTTCTGACGTTGGGAAAATTGGAAATTTAATGAACAGTCGGTTTTTTAAAAAATATTCACAAGGCCTTATTTGGTTATTAATTTGAAAGTTACATAAAAACATTGAAGAGGACCACACTAGAATTTATTGGTTTGCAGAACTTCTGGAATTGGTGCTTCTTTCAAAAAAAAGTATTATATCAAAGGCAAATAGATTTCATGAAGGTTCTACAATAATGAATTGAGATGCTGATTTTTAATTAAATGGATGACCTAATTTTTGAGGCCTTGCTTGACCTTTGCAGATGGTTGACATGGATTGTAAAATTGAACATTTGACATCACGAATCTTGGTATCCCCAATATGTTGTAAACACATTTGACCGATTTGAAGCAAACAAGAATTTGAAACTGTTACTTGCACCTCATTTAAATTGAACAATTATTAAAAATTGGTCCAATATCAAATCTTCCAACTTAAG